CCCCCTTTTTTTTTTCCCTTAAGGAGTCAGATAAGCTTCTACGTGTCACAACAGAACCTGCAACTTGCTTGTCAGGAAGTAAAAAGCAAATAGTGAGACCAACTCTCTCAAAGCCCCGCAGCGTTCAGGTTTGCTGCTGACCGCAAGGCACTGCGCTGATCCTCTGCCCATCCTGAGGAAGCAGAGCCCTGGGCTCCATCAGCAGATGATCTGTCCACCCACACAGCACATACACCCTGTCAAAAGACAAAGCAGCCTTGATCTAGAGATGAGAGATTAGCTTGGCTGCAATACTGTTTAGTGAGTTCAGAAAGATAAATATCAAAAATCTCAGAAAAGCTCCAGAAAGAAGAGGTTCTGTCACACCAATGATTCCAGTGCACTTGGTAGATCCCCCATCAGCCAAGGGGACAGAGATGAAAGCCTTTTGGAGAATTAGGCAAATTAAAACAATAATAGAATTATCAGCATTTTTCTCCCTAGAACATTCATGTAATCTCAAATAATCCAAAATAAAACATTGTGATAGAAGATAAAGTCTTCCGGGGCACCAACCCTCCTTTCATAAAGATCCAACAGCAGGAAAGGAAGCAATGAAAATTTTTACGAGCATCATCAGGGTAAAGATTTCAGTGTTGCAGCCCCACTCCCTACAGACCATCTATCATCTGCCCTTGCACATCGGACAACACAAACACGTTTGTTGCCAACCACTGGGATGCTTAAAAGCTCCCAGTATTCCCTGCAGAGACCTTCACGTCTCGCCACTGACGGGTCCTTTGGGTATACATTGACCTGTGGTTCCTTTGTGATGGCTAAAGGTTACAGAAAGGAAAAGCTCATGAAGAAGGACAATGAATTTTATTCCATCTGCTGACACAGGTCAGAAAAAAAAGCAGAGGAGCTCTGGGATGAACACACCATTCCTCAGCCTTCAGGCTCCCAATGCTCCTGGAGCTTCTCACAGTATTTCAGCCCACGGTCAGTCTTAAACGCCTGCTTCAAGTCCGCGATGCCCTGAAGGTCTCAGCAGGGGCACAGGCACTTTCTGACCCAAATGTCTGTACACACTGCACCAGTTTTGGAAGCTTCCACTCAGATCTTGCCCTGAAGTGCCCACCACGGCTCCAGGAACGTCTCTGCATTTCCCAAAGTGGATCGTCCGTGGGTATCCTGGCACAGCAGATCCTGACTCCATCAAGGGCTCCAATCCAGAGACCAACGCTGCCAATGACCCCAGCCAAGGGAGTAAAACCAAAAGAATTACTTTCCCACCAAATCCCCTTTTCCCAAGATATAATACAGCATTTGGAGATGCCAAGAGCCTTGATACTGGCTGCCCTGGAGCAGACCAGGGCTGCTCCACCCCAGGGCTCCTCCAGCCGCGCTCCCTCGCCGAGCCATTCCCCTGCCTCGCTGGGAATAAGCCGAAACAACTGCTCGGGCTGTTGGCTTCCCCCAGCGTGAGATAGAGTGTGCTTGGACGAGATGGGCTCATCTGCCAGCATTTAACAGTGAAGCTGTCACTGTCTCTCAGAGCACTTGGATAAGCTGCTTGGAAGAGAGAGGGGGAAAAAAAATAAAATTTTACAGCAAAAGGAGCCCTGCAGAGAGGGCTGCTTCCCATCTTCCCAAATGATGGATCATTGCCTTCTCTTTACCAGCCCACAACCTCATCATAATTTATCCTTCTCAGCAAGGCAGTGAGATGCTTTAACTCCACAACCTTAAGCAGCAGCATCCCAGTTTGCAGCTGCATCCTTCCCGTGCCGAGGGCACCGATGGAGATGACCGCTGCCAGCCCCCAGCAGATCCTCCGCACGAAGCATTGCTCTGTACAGCTGCAGATGGGTACGGTGATGCTGAAGAAAACAAGGCTTCCAGAAGAAACAGCTTCCACATAAAACAGGTTGTTGTCTGAGACACCCAGCTCCTCCAGAGAGGAGATCTGGACCTTAAAAGGACAAGGCACAGCAGGCTCTGACCAAAATATAATATTAAGCTTAAGGAAAAAGGAGCAGGGGTGGAAGCTGTAGAACAATCCAGCAGGAACGCTCCCCGGGATTTCAGCTGTGCTGGAACATGACAGAGCTCTGTGCCAGGAGAGATGCTTTTCACTTCATTTCTCATCCCGTATGAAATAAACACCGAGAGCGTGGCAGCAACCGAGGCACGAGCGAGACCATGCCTGCAGCCATCCCACAGCCCCTCTGCCCACTGTACAGCATGGCTGGGGGGGAAAGGGGGGTGGCAGAGCCCCAGGAGGGGACCTCTCACGTTGGCTGGGACTGTCACCGGCTGTCTGGGACCATCACAGTCACCTCAGGCTCCATCAGAGCAGGCAGCGCTGCACTAGCGATGGGCTGGTGCTGGGAAACTGCCGGGATGAGCAGACACCCAGGGCTGGCTGGGACGGTCCCAGGCAGGAGCAAAACAGCAAAGCTGGGATTTTGTTCCCTTTCCCTGGCACGGAGAGGGGAGGAAGGCAGCAGCGGTATTAACTGGGATTAACACAGTTGTTTTTCCATTGCTTCTTCCTAACAAGGAGACCTGGGGGTGCAGCAGATGCGCTGGGAAGCTGCTGGTGCTTGCTCTCGGTGGAGGACGTGAAGGTACAACTGGAGCCTGTAATTAACGGCCGTTTTCCTGCCAGCACAGGAGGGGCTGCAATATCTACACCCAGTACTTCCCCGGCTGATCCTATCTCACACTTCGCAGACATGCCTCAGTGCCAATGAGAAAAATAAAATTGGTGGAAACTCTTGATGCTCAGAAGTAACCCGCGATCGTGCTTTTCCCAAGCAGCAACATCCTTCTAGCCAAAGAATAAGCTTCTCCGTCATGTTACAGACACAGAAACCAGCCTGACGTGCTGCCTCTCGCAGCATCATAATGAGATTTGCAGCAGTTGGTATTTTCTCATAAAATTTAAGTTCCTGGATTCACATGATGGGAGTACGAGGCTCTTGGAAGGAAGCAGAAAGAAGAGCCTGGCCCTAATGACTGTAAAGCGAAGCCTGAAAGTCTGAACATAAAAGCCCCAATGGACTGAAGGTTGAAAGGCAAATAAAAAGCAGCTGAAATGTGGAGTTTGGGAATCTTATTAGTTAACGCTCGGAGCTGGCTCCTGCCTGTGCTAATGACAGGGGCAGGAAGCTGGGACAGACCTGAGGAGCAAGCCAAGAGCTCCTGATCTTGGTCCCCGTGTTGCTGAGGACCATCCCACGTCCTCATGCAAATGCCATTTACTTGAACAAGGCAACAGTGCTCCACCAGCGATCTTACCCAACCGCTCCGGGCATTGCATCTCATAAACCAGCTCAGGAAAACAGCTGCCCTGCAGAAGCCATTTCCAAATCCAACTTTCACATGATGCTCAAATCAGCCACAACATTTGGTAACCCCCCAAAAGCATCCAAAAACCCCTGATCTGAAACCCGCCATCCGGGTGTCCCCCCTCACAGGGCACAGGGACCCTCCTGCACCAAACAACGTGCGGTAAAACCACAGAACACGGGATCTGCAAACCCACCCCAGCTGCTCTCACAGATGGGTCCTTTAGAGGCTTTTCAAGCTTCTGGACCTCGGCAAGGGGACTTGCGGGGACATGCCATGGGTGCCAGCCTCCTTACCGTTCTCGCCAGCCTCCAACATGCCCTGCAAGTATCGGAAGGACCCAGACTGCTTAGGCTCCGAAATGGGCTTTTCATAATCCTGCAGCATCTTGTAGACATCTGACTCCACATCAATCCCATTCCTGTTCCGTGGGAGAGACTTCAAGGGGTCAAGGCTGTTTTAAAGAAAAGCAAGAAAGGCTCAAGTCAAATAGAAACGGCGATTCTCAGCTCATCAGGGAGGTACGGAAACCTCCTGTTCCCACAGAGTCAATGAAACACCTTTCTGTTCCCGGGGGTTTCTCTGCCTGACCCCATGGAACCAGGGAAGTTAACTTTTTCCTGTTGGGCTCCGATTGAGCAACCCAGCTCGGGCTGGCCCCAGGAGAGCAGCCTTGTACCCCCCACCAACCCCACACCGACCCCCAGCATCCCATTCCTGAAGCTGCTCCTTGTCTGTGTGCAGCAGGACTGAGGTATGACAAACAACAAATAGTAATTTAAACCGTTATTCCACTTCATTCGATACATCAAAAGACGAAAAGCAGAGTTTGGAATAAAAAAATATTTCAGGTACACGTTAAAGCATCCTGCAGCGAGGAGACAAATCCAAGTGCTGTACTCTGCTGGGGCCCCACAGCTTGGTGCAAGGGGGCTCCTTCGCTTTTTGAAGGAGAAGGTCATCGAGGTCATTATAAACCCAACAAAAATAGTAAGAGCCCTGAACCCCCCATCAGATAGTTTAACACACTTTAGCCATCATCTCACTCATTTTCTCCACCAGCATTATATCCCTGCCCAAGAAAGAAACAAATAAAATCAATTCCCTTTCAAACAAAGAACAAAGACCCAAACAAAATTCACTTTCCAAGAAAAGTCAAATCTCTATTTTCTGGGAGCAACTCGCCAGCTTTTCCCGCAGCTCTGACCTCTCGAGACGAGGGGCTGAAGCGTGGCCGTGGGGCTCAGGGCTATGGGGCAGCCCAGGACCCATCCCCATGGCTCCCGGACCAGCCCAAACCCTCCCTGTGTGCCCCGAGTACCCATCTGCCCTGCCACAACCCTCTCGTTCGCCAGTTCACCCATTTTCAGGGAAGAAGGGCAGGTTTTGTCCAGTCCAGCCCGATCCAGCACAAATTCACAGTGATCACACACCCAAGCTCATCTCCCAGCTTCTGGCTCACACACAGATAACATCAGATTTTGTTCTCTCTATTTTTTAGCGCAGTTCTCTCCTTTCCAACTTCATTAACTCTCCTGGAGGAGCTCCGGGAATAAGCTGGCTCGCAGCATCACTGAAATATGAATTTGTGCAGGCACAGAGTTCCGAGCTGAAAAGAAACTCTTTGCTCTTTGTATTCAATGCAGACATTAGTTTCTTGCAGAATATTTTGCCAGTCTGGAGGAGCATAAATCAGCAGCCACATAAGCCGTGCAAAAGCATCGCAGCCCACAACCTGGCCTGTCTCAAAGCCCGAGTTATCCACCCAAACCACTCTTGGCTACATAACAGCTTTATCTTCCCTACGAGCATTATTTATTTCCCAGCCTCCCCGACAGCTGCACTGAGCAGATCTTACATCTAGAAACCTCCCCGTTTACTGGGGTTTGATTTTCTCTGTGGATACCTCCAGCTCCCAGGCCAAGTGCTTGCTCCTGCATCTGTGCAAGGGTGACCCCCGCTCCTGGGAGGGCAAAACCCCTCCAGCCTGCCTTGAACTTTGAAAAACCGAGATACCAACGTCTGTGACACTCCCTGGCATTAACCCCAGGCTGGGGACTGGATCTGATGCAACTAATCTACTCACCCCCAACTGCAATGGAAGGATCTTATGGGGGTCTGGAACACCAGCAGCCTCACCCACCTCTGAAATAGATGGTTGAACATTGCTCCAGCTTCATGAGCTTAAATTCAGTGCTGCAGCTGCCACATGCACACACGTGGCTGTTTTGTTCAGAACTTGGCACAGAATCACAGAAGGGTTGGGGTTGGAAGGGACCTTAAAGCCCATCCAGTGCCACCCCCTGCCATGGGCAGGGACACCTCCCACCAGCCCAGGTTGCCCAAAGCCTCATCCAGCCTGGCCTTGAACCCCTCCAGGGATGGGGCATCCACAGCTTCTCTGGGCAACCTGGGCCCCTGCCTCACCCCCTGCACAGGAAAACATTTCTTCCTAATATCTAAATCTCCCCTCTTTCAGCTTAAAACCATCACCCCTTGTCCTATCCCTGCATCCCTGATCAAGAGCCCCCCCATCTCTGCTGTAGGAATCTCCAAACCCCCTTTCTTTTTTTTTTTTTTTCTTTTCTTTTTCCTTTGTTTTTGCTCCCACCTACACTTGACTAAGGGAGCAGGAGCTGAACCCAGCATCCCTGAAGCTCTGGGAGCACCACAGCCCCACACACCCCCCTGAAACCAAGCGTGCACGAATGGCAGTGGGATCCAAGGTGGGAGCAGGGCTCTGGTCGTACCTGTGTGCAGGAGCGATGTGCAGCCCGCTCAGCTGCCCCGGCAGAGCCGCCTCGTTGGCGTAGAGCCGGGGCGGGTGGTGATGCTGCACGTTCAGCATCTGCTGCTTGTCCATGGGGCTGCCCCCAGCCCCAGGGGGCATCGACCTCCTGCTCTGGGCAGGCCCATTGTCCTGGAAAAGAAAAAGCAGAAAAAAAAAATCCCATCTGTGAGATTTATAGTTCTTAGGATGATATACACGGAGAAACTGCATTGGGACGTGCAGTTTGCAGCAATAATATTTTATATGGGATATGGAAACCAGAGATACGCAGCAGTAGGAAAAGAAAAACTCAGCCTCAACCTGCAGTTAAATCTCGCTGAATCTATGCAGCTTTCCTTGGTCTCCAACCGAACGAACTTGCCTGTTCCTCCGCTGCCAAGTATTCTGCATTTATTCTCCTGTAAAAGCATATTTGTTATTTCCGCAAAAGAAAGGCTGCGAGTCTGCTTCTCATTTCGCGTTACATCACTCCGAGAGCACTTATCGCTCTCCCGACTCCAGGGCAATCGCTCCTGATTTACATTAGCGAAACGCGATAAAACCCCAGCTCCGCAGCTACGCCGACAGGTTGGGCAAGACCCGGAGCCAAGGGGCCAGCCCTGGTGTTTCCATTGACTTGCAGATACCCTCATCCACAAGGATCCTTGTTCATTTTGGGAGGTTTTCTCCCAAAATAAAAGCAGTCATTAACAGTGGGAGAAATGCATTGGTTGAGGGCTTAGCTTGGCATTCAGATTTTCATTGTTTTTTTTAATTCCCAAGGCAAACTAAGGAAGTCTTTTTGCCGTATAACCTCAAGTCAGGAACTCAGATGCCATTAAAACACAGGTTTTCCATGTTATTTCAGCTACATAAATCATTACCTACGTGGTTTTTTCCAAAGCTTTGTTAGTCAGCCTCGTGCACACCCATAAATCCAACAGTACCTACCACTAATCTCACCACCAGCCGCCTGAGCCAGGCTTTACCCGTAGCACTCAGCCTGGGGAGCCACCAGCAGCACCGTCCCCAGAGAGGGGCTAATTCCAGCTCTCAGGAAAAGCAGCAGAAAGCCAGACCCAGCCTAAGGACATGCTCCGGCTGCTGCTATTTCCAACCACGCAAGTCAAAACCATGCCCGTATCGATGGAAGAAATAGATCCTTGTACCAGAGGCTGTGACCTGTTTAATCAGAGAACGGTTTGGGTGGGAAGGGACCTTAAAAGATCATCTAGTTCCAACCATCTGGTTTAATCTGTTCCAGGGCAGATCCCCAGCAATGCTGCCTTGCACCAGCTTTTCAGTAGACTGAAGCTGATGCAAAACGGAGCAGAAAAAGAAAACACCAGCCTGTGAACAAATAACAAAGTGCATATCGCAGGGCTCTAATACAAAGCTGACTTTTGACTGAAATAATCCAATAAATTACTAATTGGAAACAAATGCCTATCACTGGTGCATAGCAGAAAACACTGGTGCTCCCTAGCCTTATAAAAACGAAACAGCTAAAAGAAATAAAAACCAGATCCTGCTGGAAAAATAGCTGGGAAGTCCAATCCTTCAGTTCTTCCTAAGGCAAAACTCCCATTGATAAAAACTGGGCTTAATTAACAACTGCAAGGTGGTGCTGCTGATTTTTTTTTTTTTTTCCTGCTACCAGCTGAAAACTTGCGGACTCCAGCAGGCTCCCAGCACTTCCACCACCTCGACAGCCTTGGCAACTGCCCCGAGCCCTCTCGGCGCTGCTCCTTCCACCCTGTGCATGCACACACACATGGGGAAAGCTGCTTCCAATGTCATAACTTCAAATTAGCTGTTAAAAAAGGGAACAGGCAACAACAAAGGCTGCACGGAACAAAGTGGCTGCAGAACATAACCTGCTAAACCTGAAGCTCAGCAGAGAAGGGACTGGAAGTGAAAAAAAAAAAAAAAAAAAAAAAAAAAAAAAAAAAAAAAAAAAAAACCACAAACCCAAAACCTGAAAAACAACCAGGCTATGGCTTTCCAGATTTACATGATTATTTCAAGGGAAATAAAGAAAACACTTTCAACCGTGACACAGAGAGGAAAAGAAGGATCATAAACATTTCAGGGAAAAAAGCAATGGCCCATGCTGCCTGGCAGGCCATGGCCAGCTAGCGTGATGCTTTTAAAAAGCCGTTATTGTTAATTACCCGTGCATCGGGGGCCAGATGCGGACTCGGTCCCAAGGCCGGAGCCTCAGCCTGCAGAGGACGGGGCAGGGTCCCCAGGGTCACCCCAGATCTGCACAGGGCAGCAGAAGGCTTGGTGGCTGTGTCTGGAATGCAACCCTCCTCCATCAAAGGGCCCGGAGAGCATCATCTCCAGGGACTTCTTTAATGGGAGGTGGCTTGTGAGGCGTTGGCCATTTGTTCTCGTTAAGCTCGGCAATTTGTACATCAGGAGCAAACGTTGCTATAAAGTTGAAACTTATTGCTTGGGCACTCTCCAACTGGCACGAAAGCCCCAGGATGGAAATGGGACATTTCAGAGCCTCCCCTGCACTGCCGACCTGCTCGGCATCCCTCGTCACCAGGGTCCCCATCCTCGCGGGAGGAGGATGCTCATGGTGGTGGCAGCTCACGGTGACATCTGCTGAGCCTTGTCATACAGCCACAGGTGACCTCACTGTGGCCGTGGGGACTGATGGGCTCCTCCGGATGGACCCCATAGCATTCCTGGTACCCCAGCACCTACCAGACCAACGCCATGGGGATGAGCCATGGATGTCCCTCAGCTTTTTCTACCAAGTTCTTTGCAGGTTTTGGTGGCTTTGTGTTGGGGACAGCTGATGGCTTTGTGGGAGACACACAAAGTATCTGCCCCTCAGAGAGCACACCAGCTCTTGTCCTCCTTGTTGTTCTCAGTTTCTCTGCAACACAACTTTCCTGTTGCACAAAAAGCCATTCCCAGGACTGAGCCCCGTCTCCTTTTTCTCCTCTCAAAAGCTCTTTCAGTGTTTTCCCACGAGACCTCTGCAAGGCTTCGCATTGTGCAAAACAGTCATGCGTTCCTTCTCAGAAACCTAGAACCAGATGGATTTCTTTCCAGTTCTCAAAGTCAAGATCAGAAAAAAATCCCCCCCCCCCCCCCCTTCGGGACCTAATTTGTTTTTCTCTGCTGGCTTTTCTTCCTGCTTTTTACAGCCTCTCTTAAATTAGGAGGGTTTGCAAACCCTTCCCAAGAGCTGGCCTGCAGAGTTTCACCAAGGAGAATTCTTTTATCCTACAAAACAGAAACTCCCAATCTGTTTTCTCATACTAGGACCATCAATTCTGAAGCACAACCAACCTCCTGCCGCGCAGCCCTTGGAGCTCCTCAAGCCCAGGGGGCCCTGCCCCTGGCAAACCCAACTCCTGGAGACACCCCACACCTGATGGACACGATGCAGGGCTAGAAAGGGGCTGTTTGAAGGCCTGATTCCTGGAAGAAGGTGGGATTTCGGGGTGGTTTTTGGGCAGTTGTGATACAGGAAGGCAGCAGGATGTGCAGCCAGTGCCCAGCACCAAACTTCATTGGTTCCCACCTTGCTGGAGACCCCTAGCCTGTCCCTTCCCACTGCAGGAGGGAATGAGCAGAGGGAAAAGGGATTATTTGGAGGAGAATACACCACCGCAAATGAAAAAACCAACCTGGAGCAAGCACCTGCCTTGGGCACCCCTTGCGCAGCCCCATCTCACCACCTCCTCCTCGAGATGTGTTTATCAGCACTGCACGAAGGCAGCCCGTGCCTTATCAAGCACCAATATTTAGATCCCCAGGAGCTATTTCCAGTAGAAGGAAAACACAAGGCGGCACACAGGAGTGTTTCTCTTGGCAGGAGGCGCGGGCGGTCGGATGCACACCCCCGCGGCAGGAGCAGCGCCTGGCCCCGAGCTGCCGTAGGGGTGGAACGTGCCCGTCAGGCACTTGGGGGTGGCTGCTGGGCCCCAGCTTTTGCATCTCTTCCCACCGACCCTTGGACACCAACAGCCAGATGCCGTGGGCTTTGCTGGGTGGCATCTCCCCGGATGCCCAGTCTCAAGCACGTTCTTGGGTGCCACAGTCTATTAATAGAGGAGAAAAGAGAACTCAAACTGGTTTTTGGACGCCTGGCTTTTGTCCCCACCACACAATCCAGCATCAAGGGGATGAAAGGAACAATTTTCCTCTTATATTGAAGGGAACAGATGCTGAAGGACAGATTGCTTGGATTTAATCCTGGGAACTTCTCAGAGAGCCAGAAATAGGGAGAGCTTTTTTCCCTTCCTTCTTCTACAAGCACTTATTCAATTTCTAGCAGGTCCCTCTGTTCCGTGCCTGCTTATTAGCAAATCTCCTTCCCCCGTATCCGCTGAAGGTACCGTTCAGCTCCAGCACGATGGATGGACGCTGCCAGCAGAGCAACGAGCGCAATCAGCACAGGAACGAAGCTCAAATGCTTTTCGCAGGACGTATCGTTTCCGATTTCAGGAAATGTATAGGGGAGAATTAAAAAAAAAAAAGGGCAAGTTAAAGATTTCAACAGAAATACAAGCACAGCCTGTGGCTTCACTGCGCAGAGCTGACGCATGCTCTAGGGAATGAATGCGAAGATAAGATTTTGCCTTCTCATTACAGCTGTGCCCCTGACTCTGCTGGAGGAGCTGAATTGAGGCACTTTCATCCCATGAGATTTTTAGTGAAGCCTGTAATAGAAAACTCAAAAATTAAAAAATTCTATCCCACTAATCACTGCTGAAGTAAGTGTTCCCATAAGTAGGAAAACACGCACCCAGGAATTTTTGAAAGGTTTGAAAGCCAGTCTCAGCCCCTGGCTCTTTGGGAGAGAGTTTATCGTATTTTGAAACCACCTTTCGTAGAGTCAACAAAAAGCATCAGTCTCTTCAGATCTTTAAAATACATCAAGGTAAGCAAGCCATTTCAGCTGCCTGCTTAACAGGAATACACTTTATTGGAGACAAAAGTCCCAGGAATGGAAATCTTATTATTACCCGACAGAGGAGCTGCGTGGGACGGACGTCGCTGTTTTCATCTGAATGCAAATACAGATATACACCGTGGCCGGCGTCCGCAGGAGCGGGATCGATTCTCCAGCTCACTGCCTCGAAGGAAGACCCACAGTGAACCCTTATGTCAAAAGCTGCCCC